CTTCACACTGTGCAATTAAAATTTAATTTAGTTAGTAGATTTTTGAAAGCGTTTTTAAACCTCAATTTGTTCTAACACATATATACTTATATACATCAAATCGAAGGTAATTTTATCTCCAACAAACTGGCTAAACACAATTTTATTCGCACCAATATTTTGGGAGTTATTACAAAAAATTTGTTTTTTTTGTCTTTTTCCAGTCATCTTCACACTGTATAATTAAAATCAAAATTTAAAAGGTAGATTTTTGAAAGCCTTTTTTAAACCACAATTTGTTCCAACACATATATACTTATATACATAAAATCAAAGCTAATTTTAAGCCCAAAAAACTGGCTAAACCCAATACCTATTTACACTAATATTTCACAAAATATTGCAAAAATTTGATTTTTTTTTGTCTTTTCCAGTCATATCATGCAGAGTACATCAATACAAACATCAAATCGAACTCTTCATCAGTTGACACAGAAATTAATAGCCGTTTATCAGCACGATGACACTTCACGTATAAAAAAGATGACAGAATGTGTCAATCAACGTTATGCTAATTTGACACAAGCAGTGGTGGCCAGAGGAAGGGTCCTCAATGCTGCAATTAACTCTTTACATAACTTCGACAGGTGAGTGATAATTGAGTCATAAATTGAGTTGGAAAATGTCAAAATGTTGTAAAATTTTATTAAGAGCACACATAATTTGGTTTTTGGAGGCTTAAGTGTTAAGGATGCCTTGTGAGGTATTAAGAAAATTTGTAGCTAGTTTCTTAAGCTACAAATTAGCTGAATATAGTTCTTAGTTATCACTTCTAGTTCAAAAGTTACGGCAAAAATAATAAATGCCTGTCAAAGTTCTGGTACTACTAAAAATTTATTGGAGGGACTGAAAAAGTAAATTTTCAAGTATTATTTAAGATATCCAAATACAGTGTTAGATGAAGTTCAAAACAATACTACAAACTATAATTTTGCTAAAGACTGTTTTTAGTTAGATCAATTAGTTTAAAGTTATAGCTAAAAAACTAATGATATGTCTATGTAGTAGTACTACCAAAATATAAGTGGAAGGCTCGAGAATTTTGTTTTTGCAAATAACTATTGAAGTCATCTTAATATAGTATGAGACAAACTTATAGCTAGTGCTTTAAGCTACAAATTAGCTAAAGACTGTTTTTAGTTAGCTTAATTAGTTTAGAAGTAATAGCACAAAAAGTAAGAAAACGTCTTGTTATTAGCACTAACAAAAAATTAGTAGGCGGACTGAAAGTTGCATTTTGTGGCATAACTATTACAAATTCTGCAAAATAGTTTTAGACAAAGTTATAGCTAGTTTTTGTAGCTGTAATTTAGCTATAGGCTGCTTTTAGCTTAATTAGTTTATAAGTTATAGCACAAAAAGTAAGATAACGTCTTGTTATTAGCACTAACAAAAGATTAGTAGGCGGACTGAAAATTTGGGTTTTGTAGCATAACTATTACAAATTCTGCAAAATAGTTTTAGACAAAGTTATAGCTAGTTTTTGTAGCTATAATTTAGCTATAGGCTGCTTTTATCTTAATTAGTTTAGAAGTTATAGCACAAAAAGTAAGAAAACGTCTTGTTATTAGCACTAACAAAAGATTAGTAGGCGGACTGAAAATTTGGGTTTTGTGGCATAACTATTACAAATTCTGCAAAATAGTTTTAGACAAAGTTATAGCTAGTTTTGTAGCTATATATTAGCTATAGACTGCTTTTAGCTAGCTCAATTAGTTAAGAAGTTACAGCTATAAAAATAAACACAAGTTCTAGTGCTGGAACTATCAAAATTTCAAAGAGCATATTGAAAATCTAGATTTTACTAGATAAGTATTCGAGTTATCTTAGTATAGTCTAAGACAGAATCATAGCTAGTTTCTCAAGCTATAAATTAATAAAATATAGTTTTTAGTTAGTAGTTTTAGTTTGGAAGTTATAGCTATAAAGGTAAACATAAGCTCTAGTGCTGGTACTAATAAAAAATTCATGTGTGTTCTAAGAATTTCAAACTATTTACTTCAACATATATACATTATTATATATCATTAGAAAGCTAATTAAATTATCTACAAAACTGTATATAACGATTTAAAAGTCTTAGAACAAATTTGTCTAGAAAAAATGGTTAAACTTTGCACAACTTGATTTTTCTATATTTTCTTAAATAATATGAAAACTCTTTGTATATATATATATATATATATATATATTTATATTAATTTTTTTTATCTAGATCTCTGGAAAAGTTCTTAGCATGGTTATCGGAGGCTGAAAGTTGTATGGAGGCAATTGAATCGGAGACTGATAGGACTCCCGCTGGAACAAACAGTAGGCAAAGGGACATGAGGATGCCCCAGCATCAGTTAAAGGTCAGTTTTATATTTAATTTATATATATATATATATATATATATATATATAAATAAATTATAATTATTATATATATATAATAGATTCAACCTTATTTTATACTACGCCCATCTGTTGGAGCGTCGATCCAACAGTTCTTATCCAAGATTCAAACCAACTTGCACAAGGGTGCACCAATGCTTGTTTAAAGAAATTGATTTTGTATTATACATATTTAGTTTGTTATAACTTTTAAAATATAAAGAATTAATAATTAGTGTGTTGGGATAAAATAAAGTTGAAGTATTTGTTTATACAAATATCTAAAAAAAATTCGAGGTGTCTAACATATTTTGCAAAATTTTGGCAAAAATCCTAAAATGTGTACCGACAAATCATTGGTACTAGAACTAGAACATAGTTTTACGTTTTCTACCATAACTTCCTTTATATTTTAAATATTAATTTTATTATATCTTTTGAAATATAAACAATTTTGAATTTGTGTGTTGGGATAAAATAAAGATGAAGTATTTGTTTATACAAATATCTAAAAATATTAGAGACATCTTGCATATTTTGCAAAATTTTGGCAAAAATCTAAAGAAGTGTACCTACAAATCAACGATATTAAAACTAGAGTATTGTTTTACGTTTTTCAATATAACTTCTAAACTAGCTATGCTAGCTAAGAACTGTCTTTAGCCAATTTGTAGCTTAAGAAACTAGCTACAAATTTTCTTAACACCTCATAGAGTCATCCTTAATAACTGTACGTCGAAAAACCAAATTTTGTGTGCTCTAATATAAATTGTACTAGTACAAGCACAAGAACACATTTTTACATTTTCAACCATAACCTCTAAACTAGCTATGCTAGCTAAGAACTATCTTTAGCTAATTTGTAGCTTAAAGAATTAGCTACAATTATGCCTAACACTATACTGAAATATCTGTTATAGTTATCTTGGTAAATCTAATTTTGTACAGCCCGTGAAAACTTTCTACCAGTACATCACTAGGACTTGTGTTTAATATTTTAGCTATAACATCCAAAATAATAATGCTAACTAAAAGCAGTCTATAGCTAATGTGTAGCCTAAAAACTAGCTACAAATTTATCTAATATTTTACTAAGATATCTTTAATAGTTATCTTGCAAAATGGAGATTCTTAGTGCACACAAGTTTTTGGCTAGTACAGGCACTCAGACTTGTGTTTACTTTTTTTGCTATAACTTTTAAACTAATTGTGTTAACTAAAAACTAGATTCAGCTAATTTGTAGCTAAGAGAACTAGCTATAACTTTGTCTAAAACTATTTTGCAAAATTTGTAGTATTTATCTTACAAAACCCCAATTTTCAGTGCACCCACTAAACTTTCATCACTACAAGTATCAAGTCATTTGCTTACTTTCTGTGCTATAACTTCAAAACTAATTATGCTAACTAAGAACAATCTTTAGCTAATTTGTAGCTAAGAGAAGTAGCTATAACTCTGTCTAAAACAATTTTGCAAAATTTGTAATATTTATTGTACAAAACCCCAATTTTCAGTGCACCTACTAAACTTTTGGTAGTGCTAGTATCAAGACATTTTCTTACTTTCTGTGCTATAACTTCCAAACTAATTATGCTAACTAAGAACTATCTTTAGCTAATTTGTAGCTCAAAAAACTAGCTACAAGGTGTTTTCATACAACGCTAAGTCGACTTTAATAATTATCTGGTAAATGCAAAATTCTCAAGCCATTCACGTATATTTGGTAGTACTAATACTTAGACATTTCTACAGTTTTATAGCTGTAACTTTGAAACTAAATAAGCTAACCAAGAGCAACCTTCAGCAAAATTATAGTTTATAGTATTGTCTTTAACTTCATCTAACACTGTATTTGGATGTGTTAGATAATTTATTTGCAAATTCACTTTTTCAGTCCTTTCGCTAAATTTTTGTCAGTACCAGAATTATGACACACATTTATTGTTTTTCCTGTAACTTTTAAATTAGCTATGCTAGCTGAGAACTGTCTTTAGCCAATTTGTAGCTTAAGAAACTAGCTACAAATTTTCTTAACACCTCATAGAGTCATCCTTAATAACTGTACGTCGAAAAACCAAATTTTGTGTGCTCTAATATAAATTGTACTAGTACAAGCACTAGAACTCAAGTTAATACAAGTTGTGCACTTGGGTTTGTATAAATGCTAAAGGGAGGGTTTACAGTGCACCACTAGATGGAACGTGTAGTAAATGCATAGAACTTGTTAAAAATTTAATTTTAATTTAGTTTTTTTGATGTTTCAAGTCGTTCTGAATCGTATGACACGTTGTAAATAAAATAACTTATAGACATTTAATTAATTAATTCATTTAATTTGTGTGATTATTATATGAGATGTTTCTGAGACATAAACTCAAGTAAAATTTATTTCAAGTTTCAAATCGTTCTGAATCGTATGACACGATATAAATAAAATAACTTATAGACATTTAATTAGTTTATTAATTTAATTTGTGTGATTATTGTATGAGATGTTTCTGAGACATAAACTAAAGTAAAATTTATTAAATCGTGTTCTGAAAATCTAGTAGTTATTTCCTTGGTAATACAATCACAATTTTATACATTCCGTTTCCTCGTCAGACTTTTTTTATATAACTTTTGTAATATTATATTTTTATTTATAAAACTTTCACAGTTTTATATTTATATTTATGATTATTTACAATCTTCAATGATTTTTTAAATTCACAAATCTCTTTTTACTTCACCACATTATATTTTGTATATTTGTACAGTATCTCATATCCTGTGTGTGTGTGTGTTTGTAATAAATTTCTAAATATTTGCATTTCTACGCGGCGTCTCCACCGCATTGAAATTTCGTATGCGGTTGTTGTGTTTGTTTTGAGATGATTGATTGCAAAGTAAACCTTTGGAGGAAAACTTTATACATACATATATATATATATATATATATATATATATATATATATAAAAAATTTTTGTTCCAAACTTCAAAAATTCTTATATATATATATATATATAATATATATATAAGGATTTTTGAAGTTTGGAACAAAAATTTTGCAAAAAATAATCTTAAAATTGACTGGTTAATTTATGATATTAGTTGCAACGAGTGTAAATTTTTATTTGCACGTGCATTTTGTTCTAGATATTTTAAATATAACAATAGTGTTATATGCTGTTAGCAAGCTAATAAAATTATCTACAAATCTGTATATAACGTTTCAAAACTTTACGAACAAATTTTTTTTAGAAAAATCATTGAAATTCAAACTTCAGTATATACTTATCAGCCTTTTGTGGACTTTATAGGTCACATTTTTCTACATTTACGTTTATATTGCTAAAATTTGTTCTACAATAAATATATTGTTATATATCGTTAGAAAGCTAATAAAATTATCTACAATTCTGTATATAACAATTTAGTACGTTTGGCACAAAATTATTCACAAAAAAATTCAAACTTTGGTATCAAAATTAAGTGTCGTTTTATATTAGTAGTTTTGTTGGTTAAATATCAGTTTATTCTAAGATAGACCTAAAGCTCAATGAAACATTTTGGTACAATTTTGGAGATAACTCTTAAAAAAGGTAACAAAATTATCTACATTTTTATCTAATACAGTTTATATACATGTAGAACAATTTATCTAAGAAAATCGCGTTTGAATATTATTTTATACTGAAACATACTACAAGCGCAACGGAACATTTTGGTGCAATTTTGGCCATAACGCCAAAATTATCTAAGTTATCTAAAAATAATTTTCAGGAAGATTAAAGATAATCAAATTATCTACAAATTCCTCTAACACAATATACCCCTATCTCTCACCATTAACCCAAAAATCATTTTCAAAAATACCAAAATATTCTTTACCATCACACCTGTCTCCTACAGCTTTATAGCTTTTATAGCTTTTACAGCTATAAATTCTTGTGCAAAGTATTATTAACGAGCTTTCAGAACTCGCTAATTTTCTATGGAAATGTTTTAATAAGTCGACGTTAGTCAGAATTTATTTTTTGCTATTTTTTCTGTTTTAATTCAGCTTTTTATAAAATCTCTTTACTTATAATAATATATAATAGTATTTTTTTATTAAATCTTAAATTATTTATTTTATCTTAAAACAGTATTAGACGCGGTAAAAGATAATTAAATTATCTTTAATTTTGTCTTATATGATGTCAACGTAAAATTAATTTTTAATATTAAAATTAATAAATTTAATCTTATAATAAATAAAAATTGGAGCTAAAGTGTATTATTGAGCATATCGACTTTTTTTTAGTATGAAACGATATTCAAACGCGTTTTCCTTAGGTAAATGGTTCTACAAGTATATAAACAATATTAGATAGAAATATAGATAATTTAATTATCTTTAATCTTGCCAAAGATGGTTTTTAGATATAATTTGCGAGTTATATGCTAAAATATGAAAAAGTATCACGTCGAACGTTACATAAGTATTATTTAATGTCAGTATTTAAACGCATTTTTGTGGTTAAAAAATAACGTTACCCACATAATATCTTAGACAAAAATATAGATATTTCAATTATCTTTATTTTGGCTAAAGATACCTTTGTGCTATATAAGATACTTTTAAAGTTATGTACCAAAAAGTGACGAAAATGTACCACCTCTTACAAATGTATTTAAACACGATTATTAACATACTTATTTTCAACCACAATATAGTGGTTAATAAATAATTACCCACATATTATCTTAGCAAAAAACGTTGATAATTCATTTATCTTTGATTTTGTCTTAAATTGTTTTTAAATAAAATAAATAATTTACAAGTTATAGATACAAATAGTGACAAATCGTCAATTTCGACTTTCAACTACAATGAGAAGAAAAATTATCAAGTTATTTTGATATCAAAGTTTGAAAAATTTTGTACAAAATTTTGTTTGAAACGAGCTAAATTGTTATATTATAGACTTGTAGATATATTGTATATCATAGACTTGTTATATACTATAGACTTGCAGATAATTTTATTAGCTTTCTAACGATATATAATAATATATAAGTTGTAAAACAAATTTTAGCCAAAGTCCACCAATGTTTAATAACTAGATACTGAAGTTTGATTTTACCGATTTTTCTTAAATAATTTTGTTCGTAAAGTTTTGAAACGTTATATACAGATT